CCTCGCTGCTTATCTTCGGCCGAGATTCCGGTGCAGTTGCGCGGAACGATAGATGTATAAATATACAAAACGTTTGAAAAAGTTACTGTCAAACTTTAGCAGTTGACGATCACACTACGTACTTCTAAAATTTAGCGCAACTTTTTTGAACACCATGTATTTCGTATCCCTGCAGGATACGCAGAAGAGTTTCTACAGTTTCTTCTTTGTTTCACATGCATCTTTTTACATTCCCACAATCTTATTTTGTATCTTAACTTCTACCTTAACCTAATTACATTCTCTCTTTGTCCTCACATTCTCTTATGTTTGCTCATCTTCTATGGAGGGAAAGAGAAAGAGAGACTCTATCACCCCCTCTCAGTATCGTCTTAACACTTTGCAGTCGGGAGACTGATGTCAGTTGTTATAATCACTATCCCCTTTACAGTTTCACCTTCCTCTATCTAATCCTTCGCAGATATTTTTAGTATTTACACATGTACCATTAGGCGATGACTTGCGCAAGGGCAAAAGGTGTCTGCTAAAAATATATTTTCTTTATAATTTTAATCGATTACGTGTAACCGTATTGATGAGCAAATTAACATCGAAGATGAGATGGCAATAGGTGAAACTAACTCTGCTAGCTATTACTTAGTAGAAAGATGTAGTATTCTCTTCAATGCACACAAGAAGAGCTCTAGAAGAAATGCCGGTCTATTTAGTTTTCATCTGTTCTTTCATTTTCAACAAAAACTTGTTATTTGTCGGTCACACGTAGTCAATCAAAGTTGTCAACAAAACACAGCGAGAGATACCTTTTACTACTGTACCATCCCAAGGATCATCTCCTACACAACGAAGAGCAAGCAACCTACTTTGTTAGCCGCAGAGAACAATCGCCGGGAGGAAAATCGTCCTGGAAATTAAGCGCCGCGCTCGCGGAAAGTCCGCGGCGCGGATTTAGAGGCCACTCAGCGGCCCGATGGCGCGTTTGCCGACCGGTGAGTCAGACAACGCATTATTTATAGAGTCCGGCTCTCCTCTCTCACTCGTCGCGCACCGGCGAGAGGTGAATCACACGCGGCACGCGCTCGGACAGAAGTGTATGCCCGAGTCCAGCGAGATTTCACGTGACCGCCGCTTCTCTCTTCCTCCGCTTCCGGTAGATACCGGACGCTTTCCTACCCCTTCGACAACGCGGCCTCCTTTTCACGCGGATTCCTTCCTGATTACGAATCGGTCAGGCGGTCGAGAATTTTATTTTCGACGCGTAACACCTGGCCAAAAGTGGCCCGCGATCGGTGGCATTAGTTGGAGTTTGTTTTTGGAGAACAGAGAGATGTGGTAATGAAAGGAAGCTTTGGTTTGTTGAAATTTCTATGGATATAACGTGGTTTCAGCAGTTTGATTCTTATTTTTGATGATTGGAAATATGGATAGTGGTAATAAAACGCTTTGCCTTGTTGAGACTGCTATGGACATAACATGGTTATAGCGATTTCATTGTTAATTTTAATAATTGGAAATGTACATGATAATGAAAAGAAACTAAGCTTTTTGATGTCATCGTGGATATAAAACGGTCTGTATGATCTGATTATTGATATAAGTTTTATAAGAAGCTTTTAATTGAATGGGAGCATTAGATTGTTTAGGTTCTGTGATTTTGCTGATTGAAGACACTGTGGATAGTGATAAACGGAAGGATTGGGTTTGTTGAAATCATTATAGGTGCAGAATGTTAACTGTGACTTAATTCTTGATTTAAGGATTAAATTAAAGATATAATACTGCCGAACGGAAAGATTGAGTTTATGAGGTCTTTCTGAATGTAACTCAGTCTTTACAGTTTAATTCTTTATGGAGAGATTGAAATAAAGATATTATGTTGAACGCAAGCATTGGGGTGTCGAGATCACTGTGGGTGTAACACGATCTCCGGTTTCGCGGCTTTAATTCTTGATTTAATTTGAAAGTGATATTAGCTGTTGAAAGGCTTTACAGAAGTAGCAGTTGACGAGCTATTTGTACGTTTGTATAGTAAGCGTATATATGTGCTTGATCATTTACTTGACTCGTTTACTCGACTGTTATTGAAACGAAATGCACTGTAACACACGTAAGAACCATGTATGTAAATACTTATATTAGTTTTTGTTTTGATAACTTACATACGTGGAAATTGTACGAATGCATGTCATTTGCAATCTAATAAGGACGTTGCATGTGCATAACATTAATAGTTGTTATTTCATAGATAATTTTTATCGAACTGTTCGAAATAGTGATACGAGTTTCAGCAGCTTCGCAGTGGTTTATAAAATGATTTCGTACAGTTCAATACGTTTTATCGGTAAATTAAATGGATACCGTTGCTGATGCGACTCATTTCTAATCTTTCATGCGCGATTTGGTTAATTAAATCGACCCCAGCGCAAATAATTCACACACAATTGATCTTAACGACCACAGAATTAGTTGTTTACGGACCAACCGGCACGATATTATATTGAAATGTATCGGGCTACCGATAACCCGGTAAATAATCCGTGTTAATCGTACGGGCGACGATATAACGTTGTTACCGTCAGTATTTAGTAAATAATGTATTCTCGTATCGAAAACATGCTGTTACGTAACACTGCCGAGTGCTTCTGTCCGCAATTAAAACAGGAGAGAATACGAGATGTGGAAAAGGGGAACGAAAACACTGATAGGGCAAAAGTGAAGGATAAATCGCTGAATTGAAACGGCTCGACGCTGCGCTATGGTTAACCTTTTGAGGAACATATGCCGAGACATTGGCAAGAAACATTTCTAAATTCTGTCAAACTTTTTAATTTCTGTGAGAGAATAGAAAGAATAGAACTGGGAATTGCAAACAAGTAATGTCTATCATTTAAGCAACTAAGTGAATTGTTTTCTTGTTTTTCAGTATTTAAGAGTTCAATATTTAATTCAGCTTTCTATGGAAAAGATTTTTGACACTTTATAAATTCCTCGTCTGCGTTTTCATCATTTCAACGTGTAAAACTATATAAAAATATAATATTTTTATTACATTAATTCATATAACGACTTAGCACTAATAAAATTATAACTTCGATCGCTGCTGCATGAGAAGTTTGATTTGTCATTAGGAAAGGTAGTAGCTTTTGAAGTTTAAAAACCGTCAGAATTGAGTTCTCGTTTCTGATTGCTATTGTTGAGACGTTAAAACAAGAAGAACGCTCCTCTCTCCGTGGAAATCTATTGTAGTACTCGCGTCGCTACTGGACTCTGGTAAACTAGATCCATCACCCTACTTAGGACTTCCTAGTGTTGGCATCTTGGACGCGTGTCGGCACGCAAATGTCTGCTCCTAAGAAACCGTTTACGTAGTCCATTCATCGGGAGGGTCAAGATCTCTCTTCCCGTCTTCCGGCAATTTGTAACAGCTCCAGCCTATTAGAAACATTTCTTCTAGCCGCTTTCTTTATCCACTATTGAAAGCCGACATCTATACACGCCTGTCGACAAGTTAAAATAACAAACAAACCTATCTTACGTGGACAATATACGGAGATTGATGAAAAGAAAATTTAATGAATTTTTAAAAATGTGTTTAAACATATAAAAATTATTTCAATAATCTTTATTACATCTACATCTAAAGTATCAGATAAACATCCATCTATTTAGCGGAAAATTGAAATAAAATTTCGTATCAAAAACACAAATCTTTGACACATAATATTATATCAATATCAACACCGACAAAAACTATTCCAATATGAATCTGTCTACGTTTCTCAGTTCAAAAATTATGGATATCTCATCCCAAAAGCAGACAGTAGAATGCTCCCACCGGCTCTCCGACAAGTCAGCCAACTCGAAAAACAATCATAATATCAACCTACGTAATATTTAGTATCAGAAAAAACATTCTCCAATTTCTGTCCCGCTTGGTGTACGATAATCCCCGACCCGTTTCCGCGGACTCATCGAATCGCGCACATTAATTTTCATTGGCGGGCTATTGGCGAACAGGAATTCGGGTATCGACGATGTTTCGAGTTCCGATCTCGTTTTCTGCTGCGCGGAATCGGGGGAAGCGTGAATTTCTGCAAACGGTGGCAACTACTCGGCGGAATGCGAGAAATTCTAGGATGCGAGTGCGCGTCGGGTGGATATCCCGGGATAATTTCGCGATTGCGGCATCCGGCGGCGACGACGACTCTTCGGCAGCGGTTCTGCTATCGGATCGTTGTTCACAAATACCGACGGTCAGTGTTCGTATCGCGGAAGGTTAACGGGGTTACACTCATATTGTTGCACACACTCGTATTAATAAACGTACATTCGTTTGCACAGCCGCGATAACGCAGCTTCATTTGCATCCGTTCGATACGTCGGATAAAGCGCCGAGCAAACATTGTCTCCTACTCTTCTCCGCTTTATAGTGTGCTTGTTAACGAACACTGACCGACGGATCACTTTTGACCCGTATCGGAATTTTTGCTTGTTCCAAGCGAAATACTGGGGATGTAATAATTGTAGGGAAGATACGTGTTTAATACTGAAATTACGGAGCAATCACAGTTACTTATTTCCAACTTTTTATAAAAATTAGAATACGTTTCTTGAGATTCGAAATTGAGAACTGAAGTTCTCCTAGTCCTGTAGGTGTCCAAATACACGGATATAATTGAAAATCTTTCGCAGAGACGCCTTCGTAATTTAAGTGCTTAAATAAAAATTCTGAGATAGGTTACTTTGACACGACAGTTTTAGTGTTAAAAGATCTATTTAAAACAGTGACTCGTTTCTTTCTTATTTCCACCATAAAGTAGTTTAAAATTCAGAATGTTTACATATAAAAATATAAAATTTAAAGATCCAACATTTCAAAATATAAAAATATAAACTGTTTAAAATTCAAAATTTTTAAATATAAAAGTATAAAATTAAAAAATTCAGAACATCCTAAGACAAATGAATTTCCCAATGAAAATACTATTCAATTACAACGTAATATTTCTTAAATCATAGTTACTACAACAAAACAAAATCTGTAGTCGCCATTAAGAGTAGCAGTTACAGTCGCAAAGCATTAATCTTCCAAGAAGCATACAATAATATAAATCTAACCAACTCAATTAAACAATTTAGTGTATCCTTCGCGCTACATGTATCTCATTTCGTGAAATCGTCCGGCATTCGACATGCTACGGAAATAGTAGTGCAGAAAAATTGGATAGCACCGTCCCGCGGTTCCTGGTATCCGGTGACTCTTCCGTGAAACGATTGGTCTCAGTTGGCGCTCGCGGAAAACGGCGGAGAGCCGCGGCGAGACCACGCGACCGCCGCGGCTGCCGTCAATTAACATTTAGATGGATATCGCGCAAACGGTTATGCACCGTGGATCACGTGTCGAGGTGCGTGCCCCCGTTCCTGTCCACGGCGCCGCCGCTGCCGCTGACGACGACGGCGACTCGTTTAAATTGTGCCGCGTACCCGAATCAGCTTCATTCCGCATGCGAGCGACACCTGTTCCTCCGCCTTTTGTAGTATCGCGCGATCATCGGGAGCACAGGGCAGCTCGTATTCGAGCTGACACGCGCGATGCTCCATATTCGGCCGCTTACCCACGTGTCGAGCGTACCCGAAACGCTTCTTTTTCTTTCGAAGTGTCAGCGACGTGATCGAGTCTTTTCGGAGAGGATCCAATGGAAATATTGATTCGATTCTTCGTTTCGTGATCTTCAGTTGAATTAGTTAGACCTTTTGCACTCCTGTGGCCACTAAAACCGATTTATTTGATTTAATGCGTACAATATTATACAATTTGATATTTAATATTAACCCTTCGCACTTGATCTATTTTCAATGTTGTTGGGTGTAAAGCTGTACTTATTTTTAGGGAAATGAATTATAGTAATTTGTAGCGGTTGAATTCAATATTTTATAGTTGTTTTATTTGTTATTATTATTTTATAATCTTTTAAAGTATGATACTTTTTGAAATATAAGAAATTTGTATTGTCACCCCCAATATGACCTACGAGTGCAAAGGGTTAAAGTCGAAGAAAGTTAAAGTCCCTTCTAGAATTTGTAAGGAATTTTGGATTCTGTTAGAAATACATAGGCTAATAATATAAGATAAATTGTCGTTTGTATATCGGTATTCATTTACTTCGAAACTTTCACATTTTGATTTCGTAAAAATATTCATACCACAACTAGTTGCCGAAAACGTGAACTCGTATCAGTGTCCACGATTTAAAAATGTCCCTCACGCTTTCCAAACGTACGCATTCAATTGGCAGAAAAATTCAAATTCAAATCCATAGGAATCCGTTCTCGAGCAACACCGGTGAATATTCATGAAAATCGACTGAAACGGCACGTGTTCCTAGATGATTATCAGCGTCGAAAACATGTGACTCTCGGTAGCGGGCTTTACATAATTCGCCGAAGAAAAGTTTCCGTTCCGCGGCCCGTGGAAAGAAAAACCCGGTGGCCGTTAATAAATTACTGTTATTATTAGAAGGAACTGGGCTCTTAAATGCTAGATTGAGCACGACAAAACATGGCGGTAACAACGCGCCGCGCCGCCATTCGCGTTCACCCGATGACCATTCTCCCCGCTTCGGTTCCGTCGACTACGTAACCGAGGCGATCGAGCAGCGATCGTTCCGTCGCCGGGTATCGAAAGGGGAAACAAAGACAGAGGAATTGTAATCGTCTCTGACGAAGCGTAATCATATCTGATGAACAGTCATCGCTATAACAGTCACAACTCCAAATTTTATGTTCTTCTGGAGCATCGAAAAACTCGTTTTGAGCAGAAATAGATGTTATTACTCAAATATAATTTATGAACATGAAAAATAGTGTTCATTTTTACTAATCACTTATCACGCTACGGATAGTGGGGGTATACAAAACGCAATGTAGAATAACATGCTTTTATAAATACATTGGGTTAGGGAATAATTACCGTTTATTTTAAATTTGACAACAGCAACTGTCCAAAATGCTGTTCTTATTCGACTGGATATTCTATTTTTAACCTAAAACAAAACAAAAATTAAGTCAACCCTAAAATCCAAAAACACTAGTGCCTTGAGGAGAAATTTCACTTTCGAATGATAATATTTGCCAATACATTCCTTTTTTGGCAATTTTCAAAGTAAATGACAATGACCCATTCATCAACGTGATAACGTGGTGTCACTCGAATCAAGGACAGTAAGTGCTTTTTACTAGTTAAATTGTGCAGATAAGTGAATACGTTTTTCATCATTGCTCGAGAGATGTCTTGACAACGTATTTACAGCTTAAAAATCAAGGTTTTTGAGTTGTAACTGTCTCAGTAAGGAAATGACGTCGTTTATCGTGCACCGTTCATCAAAGCTAGGAAGAAAAAATCCGTTTCACCTGATTCCCTTTCGACGGTTCTGTTTTCATTGGGATCGCGAACACCGTCGGCCACTTTCTAACCCAATTCCCCGCATTACTTGCCACACTACACAGTATATTAGGCAATTCCACGAGCAACACTGGGTCTAGGTCCTCACCGGCCGGAGAATACTAATTCGTACGGCCTACGGCTCTTAAGAAGCGACGCGTGTACTGGCTCGCTGCTCGGCTAGAATTTCGAAGGAACTGAGAAATCCTGGGAATCCCGTGTTTCTCGATGCAGAAATCCGTCTCTCGACTGAAATCCCGCTCTTTCGTTTATTGTTCTTCGACCGTGGACTAGGTTTAACCGTTTGCGCTAGGGCAGGATGATGAAGATTGGAATGGTCTATTATGAAACCATCTTTTTGTGATAATTGCAAAATTAGATTCTTTATATAGAGACCCAGTGAGAACGGAACGAAAAGGAACGCATTCAACCAGTACACGCTAATTTTGATGAAACTTATGCGAAACATTGTTTTCAAGAAGATATTTGACACGTTTTTTTACTTATCAGCATCATCCACTTTTAAGGGGTGAAAACACTGAACTATGTCTCGCATGAGCTTCATCAAAATCGGCGTATGCCGGCTGAAAAGGTTCTCTTGTTAGATGATGATAGTTTATTGTTAATCCCTTGACTTACGATTTATTTATCAACTATAATCAGTACGACTACTTTGTCATTAATAATTTATTAAGAAAAAGAAACAAATTCTAGGCACATTGTATGTCCGTGTCTTCCCTAAAGTATAATAATTGATAACAGAAGAGTAATACTTAACTTGAATTCAAAAGAATCGAATAATATTTATACTTATTAAATTCTATTTAAAATCTTCACCACAAGTCTGACACGTTATCATAAGGCAATGAGTTAAGAGGTTAGTACTGAAAGGCAAAATGAGGAAGTGGTGCAACTAATGTTTAAAGTATGTGTAGTTGTAACCATTATAAAATACGAAAAACGGTGATTGTTCTGTGGAACAGATATAAAAACGGTAATACGTCAATCGAATAGTTTATTGTAATAAAATTACGTTGTTTTTTTTGTAGTAAAAAATAATGTCGAAGTATCAGTATCTATAAAAGCTACGGTTCTAGAAACAATACGATCGAAGACAGTTGAAACGGTGTGTCGTAAACCGCAGTTGCTACGTTTCCCATTGTCAGCGTTGAGCTCCTTCCTCTGACTGATCACTTTTTGTCACGATCGTGACAGAGTGAAAAGGTTAACACGGATCACAGCGTTAAGGCTATTGATTTAGCCGGACAGTTTCGATTAAAGGCTGGTAAAGATCGCAGTGAACTCTATCATCGGAATGTTATTTAGAATCTCAGTATCTTCACTGTCTACCTTTTCAATTGCACACTGCACGTTCAGCTTGCAAATACAATGAAATTGCATTTATCGAATTTATTCATTGAACGTTGATCGTCCGCACCAATTTTTTCGCAAAATCACATTTACACAGGTGAACGTTATTCAAACGGTTTTGAATCACTGACTAGCTGAATATTTCATCCAGATAATAATTAATCATTATTCGGAGCAAATTATTTTACCAGCCGAAGAAAATGTTACTTAACAACGCTAATTCGAACACAATGCATGCAATAACTAAAAAACTATTTATATAAATGTAAGTACCTTATTCTATCCACAAACACAAAATAACAGACAGAAGAGTTAGTGAATTTTTATTCGATGTACATATATATTGAAATTCTTGAATTCGTCTACCCCATCATTTCCATCTCTACATTTCTTATTCCACCGACGAACACAAGATAACTGAAGTAAAAATCGCATTTCCTATTCCACCACTAAATAACGAAATCACAACGACGAGAATCAATAAATTTTGTATTCCACATAGATCTAAACGATTTAATTACCGGATCTATTACTTCTCTCAATGAATTCATACAAACGAGATATCGTAGGCTGCATAACTTCCGACCGACCCGTGCGTGTTGCCTGCACGTGTGCTGATTCGCGAAAATCTCGGCGCGTGCATTGCAATCATTCCCATTTTCATCGGTTGGTGGTTCCCCGGACTGGAATTCCTCCCGGTTGCAAATCGGCGATCGTTCGAGCATGGAATCGCCGGTTTATCGGGATCGAGAGGGTTCCGGGTGTCGCAACGCTACTCGACGGATTACGAAACCTCGAAATTTTCAAGCCTCCGCTTAATGAACCGATAACGCCGATGAATAGCGCGGAGTTTCTAATTGCACGCGGCCGGATCTGGGCTACCGTTGCGTAACCACCGTTCGAGGCTCGCGGCCGCGAACGGTTACGAAATTTTTTCCTTTTTTCTTTTTTCATTTTTTTACGTTAAAACATTAACAACGGGCTGGAATGCAGCTGTTAAAGGATTCCCATCGGCTATGAGTTTCCCGACCGGCGAACGGACCATTGAACAGTTTTCACCGATATTCCCGGACTGGTTTTTTTTCCTTTTTTCGTTTATTTAGACTGTTTGCGACGCGCAGCATTCAACGTGCGTTTATCGAGGCCGTTCGTAGTTTGTGAAAATTATATAAATTATTAGAATCTTCGCGAATCTTACTATATTCTCGTGTCATGTTCGGAGTTAGTTGGAGATGCTTAATAAGATTGTCGAAAATGCGAAATGTTGGTGAATGGCGATACACTTAAGAAGAATTGACATATTACAACTTGTTAACTGTGAAATTTAATTTCAGAAATCTCTGATAATGATCGCAATGAAATCAAATAATGAAGTGTATATTCTTCTAACGCACGCCAAATGCACCTATAATATATTCTAACGAAAAGCTGAAGCAAAACAAAGAAGAATTACATGTTTATCCGAAAAAATAAAGAATTCATCGTTGAAAGAACTAGTATCATTTTAATTGTAAGATGACGTGTATGCTCGGTGAACGCAGTTAACTAGTTAAATAATCAACGTGTATGTGGAAGTTTAATCAGATACAAGTATGTGTGCTTTAGTGATTGCAGAAAGTGCACAAATTTCATGGTTAATGTTAATTATAGCCTTATTGAATTTAATTTGAATAGAAATTGTGTTTAGTTGTATTCCACGTTATTGCTAATTATGACTAACTCGTTATAGGTGTCGTTATAGGTATATACTGTAACCTCTTATGAAATAATAGTTGGATAACACGTAAGTCCGCTTGTGTATTTTAACTGTTACTGTATGCAAATGTTTTCAGTGGAATATTAGATAAAAATGATGTAACATCTTCGGACTGTGTTTTTATTGATTAGAACTCGTTCTCTTATCTAACCAGGCTTTCAGCTGTTTGAAATACTAACGCCTTTTCTTGCAATCGCGCAGAATGAAACACATCAACACTCTTCGTTATGTTCTGACAGAGAGCGAAAACAGATAGTGCGGCGTCTATCGTTCATCTGCATGTAAATCACGCGTCGAATGCATCGGTAAGTTCATCAGCCGTACATATAATCGGAATGATAAAACGAAGGAGACGGTGATACGAGCAATAAAATCTCGCGTGCGTAATCGTTCAATGGAAAATTTTAAATCAATGGCGTACACTTCGATCTAAACTTGAAACTTAAGAAACGTGATTAGTAATTTGGAACAATTAGTGTTGGTGATTATTTTATTAGGATAAAATTTTCAACATTTTTCGCAAATGAAGGGAAAATATTTATTATTTCTATTTAATAATTAATAAATAAGTTTTGATTATACTAATTAATCACCTTTTTCCATAAATAATTGAATTCATTAAACATCGGACACCGATGTACTCGATTGAATTTGGTACAGATTTTAAATATTACAAAATCTCATTTAACACTCAAAATCTCTAACGTACATCAAGATTATAACAAAATTTCATATACTTAACGCTAAAGAATTATTTCACTCGAATTTGAAGCGTAATTCTGTCAGGTTTTTTCAATCGTAAGCTTCAAGTACATACCTCAAAGGCAAATTATATATATTCTGCTCGATAAAGCGATTCGCATCAATGTCGAGTTCTATTTCCGTTGATTTGTTGTCTTCTTTCTTTCGCGATTCCTCGTTGCGTAATTCAAGACGAAGTTGACAAGCAGGACGACGATCACGGGAAGGAAGGGGCTCGGTCCATAAGCATTTAAAGTCTCGTAACGTCGGGGCGGAACGTCGCGGACCGTACGTTTCGATTAACACATTCGCGACCGTATATAACTTCTCAAAGTCTATAGCTGAATACTGCAATGGCCTAGTATTCAAATGTATTCGAATATAAAAATCTATATAAGAGAACTATGTTGTCAGTACTTAGCTACTGATCTTGAAATACTGCAGAATCGAGTATCTCGTATTCTTCGACAAAATTAAAAGTCACGTAGGATTGCGTCACCAGCATTCTTCTAAAAGAATTAGAAGTGACGTAAACCTACGTTATCAGTATTTTTCTAAGAAGTTAAAAGTAACGTTGGACCACGTTACCGGCGTTCTTCTAAAAGAATTAAATTTCACGTGGAACTACGTGTTAGTATTCAACTAAGAAAATTAAAAACACGCAGAACGTTTCCGGTATTGAACTAAAGAGGTAAAAAATGACGTACAACTACGTTTCTGGTATTCGGCTAAAAAATTAAAAAGTGACGTCGTAATAAGTTATCAGTCTCAAATGTGTTAATCCCGTTCACGATTACGCAATTGATCATCGCCAAAGCTGTCCGTTGACTAGCTCCAGCATGTTCTTCCTTTTCTATCGAAAATCCTCCGCGACGTCATCATTACGACGGTGCATCCATAGGAAGGAGCCTTTACATACATATATGTGTAACGCGATTCACCTAACGATCGGATGATCCGCGGCGAGTAGTAGCGCCGCGATCAAATTGAACAAGCAAGTCGGCGTTCGTGTAAACCGCACCTTCGGGGCTTCGTAAGTCAACGACATTAACGGTTACAATGGCGCCAACAACCGAACCCGGTGGCTGACATCGCGATCCAATGGCCGAACCCTTTCGCAGATCGATCGTTCCGGTTCCGCTTCTTTTTTGTTGCCTGCTTCTGGCGCTGGATACGTTGCACACTATATATATGGTCCTTCATAAAAAATGCACTGCATCCATGAAAATAATAGAGATTGGTTGTAAATTTAAGAAATCAGTGATATAATTCTCAACAATTGGATTCGCGAAGAAATTTTTTCCTGAGATTTC